AATTCCTGTTGGTAGCTTCGCAGACACTGTCCAACCATCTCATCCTCTGTCATCCCCTTCTCCTCCTGCCTTCACACTTTCCCAACATCAGAGTCTTTTCCAGGGAGTCTTCTCTTCTCATGAGATGGCCAAAGTATTGGAGCTCCAACTTCAGGATCTGCACTCCCCTGAGAGGCCAAGTTTTTAATTTGAGAGTGCTCCTTAACTCTGTACTATCCATGGATCCCCAACAGGCAGTGAGGCCTCTGTGTAACTCTACTTACTGCACCAACCATAATATCTCTTGACTTAGCAACAACTAAGCCTGCCTCAACTGCATTTTGTCTTGATTACTCTGGTGCACTCCACACTACCCTTGTAAGAGATATAGGATCCTTAGCTGGTGCAATATGTCACAGCTATGACCCCAGTACTGAAAGATGTGCACTGGTTGCTAAGCTCTTACCAGGCATAAATAAAGGTGCAGATTCTAACTTCCAAAAGCTTTAAACATCTTGACATCTTGCTATCTAAGGGACCATCTCTCTTGCTATGAACCTGTGTAGCTGTTAAGATAAACGGGAGAAACCATCTTGAGAATACCAATAGCTGCACACACCTGCTTGATAGGCATATGAGATAGGGCTTTTTCTTGAGCTCCCATCACAGCTGAAAACAGCTTTCCACAGTTTCCATTCTCACTGCATTTAGGAAGGGTATGAAAACACATCTTTTAAAACTGGTTTATGATAACATCGAATTGATGTTGATGACTTTAACTCTTCATTGCTGTATCGATTTCAGTGGCTTTTATAGTTTTGCTTGTTTTATTTGATTTTGATTATTTTGTGATTGAATAATTTTTACCTTTGTTTTTTTTTTATTTTTTATTTTATTGGATCTAGACCACCCATCTAGACCAAAGATCTACTCTGTGTTTATTTATGTTTTATGACTGTAAACCACCCTGAACACTAACAAGTATGGAAAGGCAGTGTATAAATGTATTGACGGTCATTTATT